GAAGCCAAGCCGCAAACGCGCCCCGCTCCGTCTCTCCCCCCTTTCATTCAGCGCCGCGAGTCGGAGGGACCGATCCTCTGGGGGCCCGCCTGCACTTTCATCTCTCTCCGCCCCCCCCGCCGGAACTGAACATCATCCTTCCCCCCCCTTCGCCCCGTCCGGGAGGGAGGGAGGGAGGCAACCGCTTCGGCTCCTCTGGATCGGGAACCCCGACCCGAATCCTCACCACGAAGGAGGAGACGAAGACGCGGAGCCCCCCCCCTTCGAGACACGACGGGCTGCCGCTGGAGGCCGGCTTTCCTGGGACCTTCAGGCATCAGGATGTCCCTCGCGGGTGGGAAGAAGGGGATTCCTTCCAGGAAAGCTCCCGTGAAAACTTCGCCCTTAATCTTCGAGGTGCCCCCGGCTCTTTTTTGTCTTTTATCTTTCGGCTTTTGCTGCGCGGCGCTCCCGGTTGACGCCTTCCAAAACCGCAGCCCCGAACTGGCCTTTAGTACTTGGGCGTGAAACCTTAAAGAACGCTGGGGGGGGCATTTACTCCCGAGTAATACACATAGCCAGGAGATGGGGACGTCCAGGCACGTCGTTTTAAGGGGGGGGAAGAACCCGACCCCAGTTTAGCAAGGCTTGGGCTACTTTTTTTTGGACTACAACTCCCCAAATCCTGAGCCTGCTCCGCCTTTGGCCCCGCCGGGCGCGGGCCCCTGGGAGTTGTGGTCCGAAAGGAAGGGACGTCCCGCTCCCAGCCCCGGGTGGCCTCCACGGGAATGACTGCCGCCGAAGGGGCCCCGCGGGTCTCGGATCATCCACGCGGACCCGCCTCGCTCGGAAACCACCACCTCCTGTGGTTGACAAGCCGGGGAAAGTCCGCCTCCCTTCCGCGCCCCCTTCCCCGGCCGTCCTGCCAAAGGCCTCGGCCACGGAGACCTTGAGACGGGTGGGAAGCCCCCCCCCGGGTGCAGCCGCGACTCAGGCAGCAGGTTTCTTGGGACGACGGGGGATGTGGATCGGGACGGAGGCGCCTACCCGACACGCGTGCGTGTGAGCACTCGCACTCACAGGCAGGCACGCGCGCTCCCCCGTGCACTTCG